TGAAAATGTCCCTAAACAGTTCAAAATAAATCAAAAGATTTTGAAAATGTGATCGTGTATAGAAAATGCAAATATATACAACCAGTAAAAATTTCATGTATCTACAATCATTTTTTTTTAAAGTTACACCAAAAACCAAATTCAATTTTGTGAAAAATCGATTTTGCGTAAAAATTCCCGTTTTTAATTAATTTTTCTTTGGTTTTTCTTGGAGCTTTTGAAAATTACTGGGAATTTTAAAATATAGTATAAACATGTACGATGTACTTAATATGTTTTTTTATTGTATTTTATGTCATATTAAAACGGAACGAGGAAAAGAACTAGTTCCTTTCTTCAAGACAGTAACGGTAAAGGACTTCATTCCTTTTTAACAAGAGGAACGTGAACGTGAACTAGTTCCTATTTTAAAAGAACTTTCCAAGCACTATTCTAACTCCATTTGATGCTGATGCATGGCGTATATATATATATCTAAAATATTTTTCTGGGGGGAGGGGAAGGCTAGATAAATAAATTGATATATAAAGGGACGGTGGTGTTCCCCACGACCCACCATAAGTTAATTTTAGGTTTGGTTGGAAATGTTTTTTTGAGTTTATGTGCTAAGCGTATAGCCTAGAAAAAAATGACCAATATATCACTGATTATAATGTATAATATAAATCATAGGTATATATCGATGGCGTAGCGCACAAGTGTGATAAGTGACATTTTCGTAATTGTTCAGGAGAACGATTTTTAAGTTTGAGATGTTATAACAAATTCAAAAATGTAACGAACTTTACGACATCTATCGGAGTAAATAATGAACTTTTCACTTACAACGTTTGGGCATAATGTGCAGAATTGTATGATTAAATTGATTATGCGCTTAACTCATTTTTCAAAAAAATGTCACTTATCACACTTGTGCGCTACGCCATCGATATCAATGTTTTAATTATTAATACCTGAACAATGTACAGTTGTACATTGTACATAAATAATAATACATTAGTTAAATTGTGTTGTAGGTATTGAATTATAGGTACTTAGGTAGTTGCTTAAATATATTTTATATCGGTACTTACAGTGTAATTTGATTGTACTCATCTCGCTACTCATTCATCAATAATGTCATCGTTTTAAAATGTGAAGCACAAACTCTAAAACGACTTTCTACATTCAATCCAAGACTTTTTTCCAACTTTTTGAGCAAGACATTATCGTTTTGGAACAACAAAAGACGATTTGTGCTGATTCACATAAATCGACACACGTCACACAACACTTAATCACAGAATAGAGAAATGACTTAATTGTATTAATGCTTAGCTATTTTAAATAAACTAATAGCAAAATGTACACACATTGTATAATATATTCTAGGTACACACATTTGAAACAAAATAGCAAAACACAATTAATATTTTCTCGAATAACTCTACAAATTGTGATAATTGTGATATCTTAAAAGTTAAAATGTTGTGATAATATAAAGAGAGCGGTAAGTTGTTGATTATTCTTATCAGCAGTTATGGAGGACACTTCGGCAACCACATTTTAACGTTATCATCATGGCTCGTTGCGTAACCCGTATAATAATATCTTTAATCGTTCCCCGAACACGTTAGCTGCTCAAAATATTGTACTGTGCGATTTTTACGTTTCCAAGTCTCGTTTACGGCGATGTCCTAAATAGTATATAACAATAATAATTTCCCGGTCAGTTAGCCGTACGCCACACTCGCGCACACCGATAACTCCAAGAACTACCTAAACCACTGGCCAGGCCTATCACGCCACAATGTCAGTCACGCCGTTAAAGAGAAGAGTATGTTATTATTACGACAGTGAGTATCGTTTAAATCGTTGTTAAATCTGTTGTATGCTCTCGACTGTCACCGTTCAAAGCTTCTGAAGTTCCAGCGACGGCTAAGACATCCATTGTTTCGCTGTCTGCTAGTCAGCTGCAGTTCGAAAGTGTTTACCCTACTTGCTATGTTGATAGTCTCCGCACAACCGGCACACAATAAGAAAACCTTAGTAATTGTTCCCAGTCTGATGGGGTTTCTTTTTTTTTTAAATTCTGTCCTTTACTTCTGGATGACATATTTGTCTAATATGCACTGTGTCTGATATTGTATTATACTATTATGGCGTTTTTATTGACGTCAGGTTAGTATTTAACACATTTTAAACACTCAGAGTAATGTTACAATTTAAGACAAATATCTCTAGCATGAATACTATCAACTAATCGCCACGCAGAATATATACTAGACAACAGTCAGATTACATGGTCTTTTACTAGGGCCTACTTAAATATTCGCTATGGCTCTTATAGTACTTTAGAAACTAACTTTTCCTTGTGACACTTATTAAATAGTAATTAACATAGGTATTGTGCCACCTACACCATGCACAATACTGTAATAATAATATAATATACGTGTATGGTCCTACACCTTGACTCCAACAGTACTAACCAAAGCTACCTACTACATTTTTATAATAAGTTAGAAACCTATCTGTTTTTAATTTTCATAGTTACCTTAAATATGTCTATGCGCACTCAGAATAAATGCACATACCAAGATGTACCTACAAGACATTTTTGAATTTGTCTTATGTGTGTTATTTTGTTTTAGTCGAAATCTTCAATTTATTCCAACCCAACTGTAACAATCTTAGGTACCTATAATCTGAAGTACAAAAGTACATTCTGAATAGAATATATAATCAGTAGGGGTGGTATTTATTTTTCTGAAAAATACAAAAACAAAATATTTTATATCATGTCATTCTATAAAATTAATAACATAAGGTTGTTTCGTAGTCATATGCTGGTT